CTGTCGACAGTACTCTGGGCTTCCTCCCGTGGCACATTAGACTCACAGAGTTCATGTAAGTTTAAGTTTAGTCTTTGAAATGTTGTGGTTTTACCTCATCTGTCTGTTGTGTGGTTTGAGCATAAGTTTTTTCTGGCTGTCTTCCTCAAGTGGAATAGTCTCGCTCTTGTTTATAAGTGAGAGAAGGATGGAGTGTGCGATTGAAAGACAAATCGGTGCAGTGTGTGCTGTAATTTAGTCGCTGTATTGTTGTGGTGAAGAGGGAACAGCGTCTGCAGTCAGAGCTCTGGATTTACCACCTTGAAGTCTCCCAGGGGAGGTGTTCCGGTCATGTCCCAGTCTCCTCCACCAGGAGGAGACCAGGGAAGACTCAGGACACAGACGGACTGTGTCTCTCAGATGGACAGGGAACACCTCAGGATGAGCTGGAACAAGTGTGTGTGGTCTCACTCTGTCTGTTCTCTCTCTGTGGTCCCTGTCTCTGTGGTGTCTCTCTCTCTGTGGTCTCTCTCTCTCTCTGTGGTCCCTCTCTCTCTCTGTGGTCCCTCTCTCTCTCTGTGGTCCCTCTCTATGAGGTCTCTCTATGAGGTCTCTCTCTGTGGTCCCTCTCTGTGGTTCCTCTCTCTCTCTCTGTGGTCCCTCTCTCTGTGGTCTCTCTCTCTGTGGTCTCTCTCTCTGTGGTCTCTCTCTCTGTGGTCTCTCTCTCTCTCTCTCTCTGGTCTCTCTCTCTCTGGTCTCTCTCTCTGTGGTCTCTCTCTCTGTGGTCTCTCTCTCTGGTCTCTCTCTGGTCTCTCTCTCTGGGGTCTCTCTCTCTGCGGTGATTCTGACCTTCCTGATGACGTAAGCGGCCGTTTGCGCCAACTGTAGGTGCATAAGTTTTAACCCCCAGTCTGCGCCAAAGTCCCACATTTAAGCCGTGTCTACGTCATCACGGCGTCTGTGTGACGTCAATAAAACCCCGTTAAAGACACATCTCTCTCTCACCTTCAGACCTCAGGCTCCGAGCGACGCCATCTTGGACCGGCTCGTTCTGGGTCCTGACGCTGAAGGACCACGGGCACCCTCAGAAACGCCTGACTGCAAATACATGCAGGAATTTGGAAAAAGTAGGAATTGTATTTTTCTGATGACAGTCTGTTTTGTTAAATTGTGAGGTGCTATTTTGTTACGTAGATGCTTAAAATAACTCAGTTCAAAGCTGCAGCTGCTTCTCTTCTCACAGATTCAGGATAAACGGAGGTACTTTGTATGATTTCAGACGCAACCAACATTATTTTTGATCAGGCGTCGCGCGAGGAGCCTACTTTTTCAATAATGATCGTTTATTGACAAAAACAACAAATTACAAAACAAAACACGTCTGTAGTTCTTTAATCCAAGTGCGATTTCTGACTGTTCAAAAACACCGGGATTTGGACTTATAAATAGTTCAAAAAGTATTTAAAATTTACATTAAAATCTATGATCTACAGTCTCAGTCCTGGGTCTACAGTCTCAGTCCTGGGTCTATAGTCTCAGTCCTGGGTCTACAGCCTCAGTCCTGGGTCCACGGCCTCAGTCCTGGGTTCACAGCCTCAGTCCTGGGTCTACGGCCTCAGTCCTGGGTCTACAGCCTCAGTCCTGGGTCTACGGCCTCAGTCCTGGGGTCTACGGCCTCAGTCCTGGGTCTACAGCCTCAGTCCTGGGTCTACAGCCTCAGTCCTGGGTCTACGGCCTCAGTCCTGGGTCTACAGCCTCAGTCCTGGGTCTACAGCCTCAGTCCTGGGTCTACAGTCTCAGTCCTGGGGTCTACAGCCTCAGTCCTGGGTCTAGATCCTCAGTCCTGGGTCTACAGCCTCAGTCCTGGGTCTACAGCCTCAGTCCTGGGTCTACAGCCTCAGTCCTGGGTCTACAGCCTCAGTCCTGGGTCTACAGCCTCAGTCCTGGGTCTACGGCCTCAGTCCTGGGTCTACAGCCTCAGTCCTGGGTCTACAGCCTCAGTCCTGGGTCTACAGCCTCAGTCCTGGGTCTTCAGCCTCAGACCTGGGTCTCCAGTGTAATGGAGCAAAGTAAAATCAGAGCAGCAGACTCGGGGTTAATTCATAGTTGTTCTGTTTATTATTGTAATAAATTAAAAATTAAAATCCAAAGGTAACAGAATCCCAGAGTCTGCGGTCGCAGCTGAACTCAGGATTATCTCATTTTTTAATCCAGTGTGAACCTAAAGAGAAAAAATCAAAATCTCCGAAAGTCTCTATAAAACCAGCGTTTGTACATGTGCATTCATCAGGGCGGGAATGTCTGAACCAGGAGCGGACTATCAACCTCAGACAGTCACATGACCCGTCGTCACATGACCCATCGTCACATGACCTACCGTCACATGACCCGTCGTCACATGACCTACCGTCACATGACCCGTCGTCACATGACCCATCGTCACATGACCTACCGTCACATGACCCGTCGTCACATGACCCGTCGTCACATGACCTACAGTCACATGACCCGTCGTCACATGACCCGTCGTCACATGACCTACAGTCACATGACCCGTCGTCACATGACCCATCGTCACATGACCCGTCGTCACATGACCCGTCGTCACATGACCTACAGTCACATGACCTACAGTCACATGACCCGTCGTCACATGACCCGTCGTCACATGACCCGTCGTCACATGACCCGTCGTCACATGACCCGTCGTCACATGACCCGTCGTCACATGACCCGTCGTCACATGACCCGTCAGACCAGGGGTGTCCAAACTTTCTAGTCTCTTTCCTTCCCCAGAGAGTAGAAAACTAAATATAAAATGTAAAAATGAGGTTTGATGTCAGGTCTGGTACTGTGGCGCCCCCTGCAGGTGAAAGCCAGACCCAGTCAGACCTCTGAAGCTAAGCAGGGCAGGGCCTGGTTAGTACTGTGATGGGAGACCTCTGGGAACACCAGGTGGCAACGTGTCCTTAGGCAAGACACTTCCCCCCCGCATTAGAACGAGTCTGGAGTGTGTGTGAACGGTTGGTGGTGGTGGGAGGGGTCTCTCTCCTGTCAGTGTGCCCCAGGGCAGCTGTGGCTACATTAACAGTGTCTACACAGCGCTCTATGCTAGAGTTGGCTGAATGATCTCGCGGCCGCTGCATTTGAGCCGTGGACATGATTTTGTGACGGGATCAAACACAAACGGGAAGAGTGCTGCAGGAGCTGAAGCTGGCTGGATGATCACAGGACAGGGAGGCTTTAGTTTGGACACCCCTGGCTCAGAACTGCCACATTTTAAGAGCTCAGCAAATATTCATGATTGTTTTGCATCGAAAAATAAGCAGTTTGAAGAAAAGATTTAAAATGTGTTTAAAACCACAGGGAGCTAAAGATGACATCACCGCCGTGTGACATCACCACAGCGTCACACGGTGGTGATGTCACACGGTGGTGATGTCACAGTCTAACTAGCTATAACTGCCAATATTCAAATTTGGCTTTTACAGAAAAAAAAAAAAACACTTTAAAATGAAAATGGAATGACGCGGGAAAATTCAAGCTTTGGTCCAGAAGGGAGTGTCTCTGTGGGGAAAAACCAGGTGAGAAACCAGGTGAGAAACCCAGGTGGAAGTAGTAGACCAGAGTAAAGGCGGCGTGCGTCTCTGGGAGGCGTGGTTCAAAGTGCGCTCCATAAAAAGGGGTTTCTTTTACATAATACTTTCATTATTATCTGTACATCAATAAATAGTGCTCTGTCCTGGTCGGCTGGGGTATGCAGTCTACGGGAGGCTGGGGAAAAACAACCAACCAGAGGAGAGGTGTGGAGAATCAGCAGGAGAGACAGAGCCAGGAGAGAGAGAGCAGAGAGAGGAGAGAAAGAACAGAGAGAGACCAGAGACAGCAGAGAGAGACCAGAGAGAGAGAGACCAGAGAGAGAGCAGAGAGAGACGAGAGAGAGCAGAGAGAGAGAGGAGAGAGAGACCAGAGAGAGAGAGAGGAGAGAAAGAACAGAGAGAGAGCAGAGACAGCAGAGAGAGACCAGAGAGAGAGAGAGCAGAGACAGCAGAGAGACCAGAGAGAGAGAGACCAGAGAGAGAGACCAGAGAGAGAGAGACCAGAGAGAGAGAGACCAGAGAGACCAGAGAGAGACCAGAGACCAGAGAGAGAGGAAAGAGAGCAGAGACAGCAGAGAGAGCAGAGAGGAGAGAGACCAGAGAGAGAGACCAGAGAGAGACCAGAGAGACCAGAGAGGGACCAGAGAGAGAGAGCAGCAGAGAGAGCAGAGAGAGAGAGAGACCAGAGAGAGACCAGAAGAGACCTAAGAGAGACCAGAGAGAAACCAGAGAGCGGAGGAGACCAAGAGAGACCAGAGAGAGAGAGCAGAGAGAGAGCGGAGGAAGACCAAGAGAGACCAGAGAGAGACCAGAGAGACGAGAGAGAGACCTAAGAGAGACCAGAGAGAGAGAGCAGAGAGACCAGAGAGAGAGAGCAGAGAGACCTAAGAGAGACCAGAGAGAGACCAGAGAGAGAGACCAGAAAGAGACTAGAAAATTACAGTTTTGTCTTTGTCTGGACAGGGCCTATGACCTCTCAAAAACAGAGAGAGAGAGAGAGAGGGACCAGAGAGAGAGAGACCAGAGAGCGAGAGAGACTGAGGAAATCTCTCCCAAAATGGCGGCAATGAAATGTTGGATCCAGCTGTAAACTTTGGTGGAGGAGACGCTGAAGTGAACAAACGAGTCCAGTAGAGTTTGTTTTTGTGGAATGAGAGAGAAGTGAAGAGAGAAGCGAGTTCCGTCGGCTCGTCTCCAACGGGAGGAGACAAGATGGCCGCCGCCGCCATCGCCGCTACCGCTGCTCTAGTTTTTCTTCTTGACGTTGTTGTTGGTGTTGAGCCGAGGTCGAGGCAGAGGGATCCAGCTCATCAGGGGCACACGACTCCGAGCCACCTCCACCACCTTAGACAACATCTGCAGAGAAAGAGAGGGGGGAGAGGGGGAGAGAGAGGTTAATGAGGAGAGAGAGAGAGAGGGGGGGGGGGGAAGAGAGAGAGGGCAGAGAGGTTAATGAGAGAGAGAGAGGGGGGAGAGGGAGAGAGAGAGAGAGGGGGGAGAGAGAGAGGGCAGAGAGGGGGAGAGAGGGCAGAGAGGGGGAGAGAGGTTAATGAGGAGAGAGAGAGGGAGAGGGGAGAGAGAGAAATAGGGAGAGAGAGAGGGCGGCGGCGATGATGCAGAGAAACTTTACAAACGAAGGAAACCACAGCAGGATGAAAAGGTTGTGTGCACAGGAGCGAGAAGGAGATCTCAGGGAGGTGTGGATCTGAGGTCAGCTGGTGTTGGAGAGAGAGGAGAGGAGGAGGGAGAGGAGAGAGAGAGAGAGAGAGGAGGAGGGAGAGGAGAGAGAGGGAGGAGGGAGAGGAGAGAGAGAGAGGAGGGAGGAGGAGAGAGAGAGGAGGAGAGGAGGAGGGAGAGGAGAGAGAGAGAGAAGAGAGGAGAGAGAGGAGAGAGAGAGGAGAGGAGGAGGGAGAGGAGAGAGAGAGAGAGGAGAGGAGGAGGGAGAGGAGAGAGAGAGAGGAGGAGAGGAGGAGGGAGAGAAGAGAGGAGGGGAGAGGAGGAGAGAGGAGAGAGAGAGAAGGAGAGAGGAAGAGAGAGAGAGGATGGAGAGGAGAGAGGAAGAGAGAGAGAGAGGAGAGAGAGAGAGGAAGGAGAGGAGAGAGGAAGAGAGAGAGAGAGAGAGAGAGAGAGAGAGAGGAAGGAGAGGAGGGGAGAGGAAGAGAGAGAGAGAGGAGAGAGAGAGAGGAAGGAGAGGAGAGAGGGAGAGAGAGAGAGGAAGGAGAGGAGAGAGGAAGAGAGAGAGGAAGGAGAGGAGAGAGGAAGAGAGAGAGGAAGGAGAGGAGAGAGAGAGAGAGAGAGAAAGAGAAAGAGAAAGAGAAAGAGAAAGAGAAAGAGAAAGAGAGAGAGAGAGAGAGAGAGAGGAAGGAGAGGAGAGAGAGAGAGAGAGAAAGAGCCAAGCTGATATGAAGAATTGGCGCTAACGTGACTGAGCTAAAGCGCTGCTGTGCACAGAACATGAATGGATTAGATTATTATTAAAATGAGCACAAAATCAAACAGCAACAACACCAACTCTGAGGCCAGCCTCAGTCCTGGGTCTACAGCCTCAGTCCTGGGTCTACAGCCTCAGTCCTGGGTCTACAGCCTCAGTCCTGGGTCTACAGCCTCAGTCCTGGGTCTACAGCCTCAGTCCTGGGTCTACAGCCTCAGTCCTGGGTCTACAGCCTCAGTCCTGGGTCTACAGCCTCAGTCCTGGGTCTACAGCCTCAGTCCTGGGTCTACAGCCTCAGTCCTGGGTCTACAGCCTCAGTCCTGGGTCTACAGCCTCAATCCTGGGTCTACAGCCTCAGTCCTGGGTCTACAGCCTCAGTCCTAGGTCTACAGCCTCAGTCCTGGGTCTACAGCCTCAGTCCTGGGTCTACAGCCTCAGTCCTGGGTCTACAGCCTCAGTCCTGGGTCTACAGCCTCAGTCCTGGGTCTACAGCCTCAGTCCTGGGTCTACAGCCTCAGTCCTGGGTCTACAGCCTCAGTCCTAGGTCTACAGCCTCAGTCCTAGGTCTACAGCCTCAGTCCTGGGTCTACAGCCTCAGTCCTGGGTCTACAGCCTCAGCCCTGGGTCTACAGCCTCAGTCCTGGGTCTACAGCCTCAGTCCTGTGTGTTGGGCTCACCTTGCCTGGAGTCCTCTGTGAGCGTAGGAAAACAAATGTTTAGACTTAAACACCTGGAATCTCTTATGTTGTAGAGACAGTGCACTCTCTCACCTGCACTCTCTCACCTGCTCTCTCTCACCTGCTCTCTCTCACCTGCTCTCTCTCACCTGCTCTCTCTCACCTGCTCTCTCTCACCTGCTCTCTCTCACCTGCACTCTCTCACCTGCACTCTCTCACCTGCACTCTCTCACCTGCACTCTCTCACCTGCACTCTCTCACCTGCACTCTCTCACCTGCACTCTCTCACCTGCTCTCTCACCTGCTCTCTCTCACCTGGTCTCTCTCACCTGGTCTCTCTCACCTGGTCTCTCTCACCTGGTCTCTCACCTGCTCTCTCCCACCTGCCCTCTCTCACCTGCTCTCTCTCAGCTGCTCTCTCTCACCTGCTCTCTCTCACCTGCACTCTCTCACCTGCTCTCTCTCACCTGCTCTCTCTCACCTGCTCTCTCCCACCTGCCCTCTCTCAACTGCTCTCTCTCACCTGCTCTCTCTCACCTGCTCTCTCCCACCTGCCCTCTCTCAACTGCTCTCTCTCACCTGCTCTCTCTCACCTGCTCTCTCTCACCTGCTCTCTCCCACCTGCTCTCTCTCACCTGCTCTCTCTCACCTGCTCTCTCTCACCTGCTCTCTCTCACCTGCACTCTCTCACCTGCTCTCTCCCACCTGCCCTCTCTCAACTGCTCTCTCTCACCTGCCCTCTCTCAACTGCTCTCTCCCACCTGCCCTCTCTCACCTGCTCTCTCTCACCTGCTCTCTCTCACCTGCTCTCTCTCACCTGGTCTCTCTCACCTGGTCTCTCTCACCTGGTCTCTCTCACCTGGTCTCTCTCACCTGGTATGTGTATAGTCTCACCTGCTCTCTCTCACCTGCTCTCTCTCACCTGCACTCTCTCACCTGCACTCTCTCACCTGCACTCTCTCACCTGGTCTCTCTCACCTGGTCTCTCTCACCTGCACTCTCTCACCTGGTCTCTCTCACCTGGTCTCTCTCACCTGGTCTCTCTCACCTGGTCTCTCACCTGGTATGTGTATAGTCTCACCTGCTCTCTCTCACCTGCACTCTCTCACCTGCACTCTCTCACCCGCACTCTCTCACCTGCACTCTCTCACCTGCACTCTCTCACCTGCACTCTCTCACCTGCACTCTCTCACCTGCACTCTCTCACCTGCACTCTCTCACCTGGTCTCTCTCACCTGGTCTCTCTCACCTGGTCTCTCTCACCTGGTCTCTCTCACCTGGTCTCTCTCACCTGGTCTCTCTCACCTGGTATGTGTATAGTCTCACCTGCTCTCTCTCACCTGCACTCTCTCACCTGCACTCTCTCACCTGCTCTCTCTCACCTGGTCTCTCTCACCTGGTCTCTCTCACCTGGTCTCTCTCACCTGGTCTCTCTCACCTGGTCTCTCTCACCTGGTCTCTCTCACCTGGTATGTGTATAGTCTCACCTGCTCTCTCTCACCTGCTCTCTCTCACCTGCACTCTCTCACCTGCACTCTCTCACCTGCACTCTCTCACCTGCACTCTCTCACCTGCACTCTCTCACCTGCACTCTCTCACCTGCACTCTCTCACCTGCACTCTCTCACCTGCACTCTCTCACCTGCACTCTCTCACCTGCACTCTCTCACCTGCACTCTCTCACCTGCACTCTCTCACCTGCACTCTCTCACCTGCACTCTCTCACCTGCACTCTCTCACCTGCACTCTCTCACCTGCACTCTCTCACCTGCACTCTCTCACCTGCTCTCTCCCACCTGCTCTCTCCCACCTGCTCACTCTCACCTGCACTCTCACCTGCACTCTCACCTGCACTCTCTCACCTGCACTCTCTCACCTGCACTCTCTCACCTGCACTCTCACCTGCTCTCTCTCACCTGCTCTCTCCCACCTGCTCTCTCCCACCTGCTCTCTCCCACCTGCTCTCTCTCACCTGGTATGTGTATAGTCTCACCTGCACTCTCTCACCTGCTCTCTCTCACCTGCACTCTCTCACCTGCACTCTCTCACCTGCACTCTCTCACCTGCACTCTCTCACCTGCACTCTCTCACCTGCACTCTCTCACCTGCACTCTCTCACCTGCACTCTCTCACCTGCACTCTCTCACCTGCACTCTCTCACCTGCACTCTCTCACCTGCACTCTCTCACCTGCACTCTCTCACCTGCACTCTCTCACCTGCACTCTCTCACCTGGTCTCTCTCACCTGGTCTCTCTCACCTGGTCTCTCACCTGCTCTCTCCCACCTGCCCTCTCCCACCTGCTCTCTCTCACCTGCACTCTCTCACCTGCTCTCTCTCACCTGCTCTCTCTCACCTGCTCTCTCCCACCTGCCCTCTCTCAACTGCTCTCTCTCACCTGCCCTCTCTCACCTGCTCTCTCCCACCTGCCCTCTCTCACCTGCTCTCTCTCACCTGCTCTCTCTCACCTGGTCTCTCACCTGGTATGTGTATAGTCTCACCTGCTCTCTCTCACCTGCACTCTCTCACCTGCACTCTCTCACCTGCACTCTCTCACCTGCACTCTCTCACCTGCACTCTCTCACCTGCACTCTCTCACCTGCACTCTCTCACCTGCACTCTCTCACCTGCACTCTCTCACCTGCACTCTCTCACCTGCACTCTCTCACCTGCACTCTCTCACCTGCACTCTCTCACCTGCACTCTCTCACCTGCACTCTCTCACCTGCACTCTCCCACCTGCTCTCTCCCACCTGCTCTCTCCCACCTGCTCTCTCTCACCTGCTCTCTCTCACCTGCTCTCTCTCACCTGCACTCTCACCTGCACTCTCACCTGCACTCTCTCACCTGCACTCTCTCACCTGCACTCTCTCACCTGCACTCTCACCTGCTCTCTCCCACCTGCTCTCTCCCACCTGCTCTCTCTCACCTGGTATGTGTATAGTCTCACCTGCTCTCTCTCACCTGCACTCTCTCACCTGCTCTCTCTCACCTGCTCTCTCTCACCTGCTCTCTCTCACCTGCTCTCTCTCACCTGCACTCTCCCACCTGCTCTCTCTCACCTGCTCTCTCTCACCTGCTCTCTCTCACCTGCTCTCTCTCACCTGCTCTCTCTCACCTGCTCTCTCTCACCTGCTCTCTCTCACCTGCTCTCTCCCACCTGCCCTCTCTCAACTGCTCTCTCTCACCTGCTCTCTCTCACCTGCTCTCTCTCACCTGCTCTCTCCCACCTGCCCTCTCTCACCTGCTCTCTCTCACCTGCTCTCTTTCACCTGCACTCTCTCACCTGCTCTCTCTCACCTGCTCTCTCCCACCTGCCCTCTCTCAATGCTCTCTCTCACCTGCCCTCTCTCACCTGCCCTCTCTCACCTGCCCTCTCTCACCTGCCCTCTCTCACCTGCTCTCTCTCACCTGCTCTCTCTCACCTGCTCTCTCTCACCTGCTCTCTCTCACCTGCTCTCTCTCACCTGGTCTCTCTCACCTGGTCTCTCTCACCTGCTCTCTCTCACCTGCTCTCTCTCACCTGCTCTCTCTCACCTGCTCTCTCTCACCTGCTCTCTCTCACCTGGTCTCTCTCACCTGGTCTCTCTCACCTGGTCTCTCTCACCTGGTCTCTCACCTGGTATGTGTATAGTCTCACCTGCTCTCTCTCACCTGCACTCTCTCACCTGCACTCTCTCACCTGCACTCTCCCACCTGGTCTCTCTCACCTACTCTCTCCCACCTTCTCTCTCCCACCTGCCCTCTCTCACCTGCTCTCTCTCACCTGGTCTCTCTCACCTGGTCTCTCTCACCTGGTCTCTCACCTGGTATGTGTATAGTCTCACCTGCACTCTCTCACCTGCACTCTCTCACCTGCTCTCTCTCAACTGCTCTCTCTCACCTGCTCTCTCTCACCTGCTCTCTCCCACCTGCTCTCTCCCACCTGCTCTCTCCCACCTGCTCTCTCTCACCTGCTCTCTCTCACCTGCTCTCTCTCACCTGGTCTCTCTCACCTGGTCTCTCTCACCTGGTCTCTCACCTGGTATGTGTATAGTCTCACCTGGTCTCTCTCACCTGGTCTCTCTCACCTGGTCTCTCACCTGGTATGTGTATAGTCTCACCTGCTCTCTCTCACCTGCTCTCTCTCACCTGCTCTCTCTCACCTGGTATGTGTATAGTCTCACCTGCTCTCTCTCACCTGGTCTCTCTCACCTGGTCTCTCACCTGGTATGTGTATAGTCTCACCTGCTCTCTCTCACCTGCTCTCTCTCACCTGCTCTCTCCCACCTGCTCTCTCTCACCTGGTATGTGTATAGTCTCACCTGCTCTCTCTCACCTGCTCTCTCTCAACTGCTCTCTCTCACCTGCTCTCTCTCACCTGCTCTCTCTCACCTGCTCTCTCTCACCTGCTCTCTCTCACCTGCTCTCTCTCACCTGCTCTCTCCCACCTGCTCTCTCTCACCTGCTCTCTCTCACCTGCTCTCTCTCAACTGCTCTCTCTCACCTGCTCTCTCTCACCTGCTCTCTCTCACCTGCTCTCTCTCACCTGCTCTCTCTCACCTGCTCTCTCTCACCTGGTCTCTCTCACCTGGTCTCTCTCACCTGGTCTCTCACCTGGTCTCTCACCTGGTATGTGTATAGTCTCACCTGCACTCTCTCACCTGCACTCTCTCACCTGCTCTCTCTCAACTGCTCTCTCTCACCTGGTCTCTCTCACCTGGTCTCTCTCACCTGGTCTCTCACCTGGTATGTGTATAGTCTCACCTGCTCTCTCTCACCTGCTCTCTCTCACCTGGTCTCTCTCACCTGGTCTCTCACATGGTATGTGTATAGTCTCACCTGCTCCCAGAGGAAGTCTGCCACCTGGTCGATACCAGCTCCCAGGTCTCTGAATTCTCCTGAATACTTGACGTAGGCCCAGACGCACAGCGCCATCAGAGCCACGCCCATCACCAGGTTGCAGAGCGCTGCCACAGAGGCCACGCCCAGGAAGCCCGTCACCATGGAGACCACGTACATGGCAGCCATGAGAACAAAGAGCGTGGCGGGCGTGCGGGCGGCGTGGAACAGGTTCTTTCCGTGGTTGTGTTTGGAGAAGGAGACGTAGGCCTCGTCAAGCTCCGCCTCCAGCTGCAGCTGGTACTTCCTGCAGAACTCCTCCCCCCCCATCTTCTTCACCGACCGGAACTGACGCACGCACGCCTCCCGCAGGTCGCCATGGTGACGCTCCAGCTCCGAGGGTGCCAGGTAGGGACGCTCGCCGCCGCAAATCTGACATGGAAACAGGTATTAAAGGGGACGTCTGTAACTTCAGCCTTTACTTTCAAAGGAACAGGTTTTTAGTCAGTCATCTCTTCCCTCTCTATCCTCTTAGCGGGTTAGCATAGAGCTAGTGTGTTAGCATAGAGCTAGCGTGTTAGCATAGAGCTAGCGTGTTAGCATAGAGCTAGCGTGTTAGCATAGAGCTAGCATGTAGCATAAAGCCAGCATGTTAGCATAAAGCCAGCATGTTAGCATAAAGCCAGCATGTTAGCATAAAGCCAGCATGTTAGCATAAAGCTAGTGTGTTAGCATAGAGCTAGCGTGTTAGCATAAAGCTAGGCTTTTAGCATAGTCCATCTGTAGTGTATCTGAACATTAGCCTCAGTACCTGCTCCATGCTTCTGTGGTAGATCTCTTTGGCTCCTGCTACAGCTGACAGGTTATTGGCTTCAGCTGTGGCCTAAACACACAAATACACAACAATTACATCCAGAGAGTGTGTGTGTCTGTGCGTGTGTATGTGCGTGTGTGTGTGTATGTGTGTCTGTGAGTGCGCGTGTGTGTGACTACTGTAATGCCTGCTCTCTGGTCTTCCACAAAAGAACATTTCACGTCTTGAATTAGTCCTGACTAAGACCAGGGGGCGGGTCCTGACTAAGACCAGGGGGCGGGTCCTGACTAAGACCAGGGGGCGGGTCCTGACTAAGACCAGGGGGCGTGTCCTGACTAAGACCAGGGGGCGGGTCCTGACTAAGACCAGGGGGCGGGTCCTGACTAAGACCAGGGGGCGGGTCCTGACTAAGACCAGGGGGCGGGTCCTGACTAAGACCAGGGGGCGGGTCCTGACTAAGACCAGGGGGCGGGTCCTGACTAAGACCAGGGGGCGGGTCCTGACTAAGACCAGGGGGCGGGTCCTGACTAAGACCAGGGGGCGGGTCCTGACTAAGACCAGGGGGCGGGACCTGACTAAAGACCAGGGGGCGGGACCTGACTTAGACCAGGGGCCGTGTCCTGACTAAGACCAGGGGGCGGGTCCTGACTAAGACCAGGGGGCGTGTCCTGACTAAGACCAGGGGGCGGGACCTGACTTAGACCAGGGGGCGTGTCCTGACTAAGACCAGGGGCGGGACCTGACTTAGACCAGGGGCCGTGTCCTGACTAAGACCAGGGGGCGGGTCCTGACTAAGACCAGGGGGCGTGTCCTGACTAAGACCAGGGGGCGGGACCTGACTTAGACCAGGGGGCGTGTCCTGACTAAGACCAGAGGGCGGGACCTGACTTAGACCAGGGGGCGTGTCCTGACTAAGACCAGGGGGCGGGTCCTGACTAAGACCAGGGGGCGGGACCACATTACACCAGTTTCTAAAATCGCTGCATTGGCTCCCCGTGTGTTTCAGGATCGATGCTAAGGTTCTTTTAATGGTTTTTAAGGGTGTATTCAGACCTGAAAAGTTGCTTGATCCGAATCAAAAGTGGACCAAACTTTTTTCTTTTGCTCCGGTTCGTATTCGGACTGTCCTATTTGCAAGTGAACTTTTTTATATAAACATATGGACACGTGTGACGATCGGCTCCTATTGGACAGCAGAGCTCACGGAGGACAGACGCGGAACCGGAGGCTCCTCTGGAGGAGCCTCTGCACTGGGAGCTGGGGTCTGCTGTGGGGGTCTGCTGTGGGGGTCTGCTGTGGGGGTCTGCTGTGGGGGCCTGCTGTGGGGGCCTGCTGTGGGGGTCTGCTGTGGGGGTCTGCTGTGGGGGTCTGCTGTGGGGGTCTGCTGTGGGGGTCTGCTGTGGGGGTCTGCTGTGGGGGTCTGCTGTGGGGGCCTGCTGTGGGGGCCTGCTGTGGGGGTCTGCTGTGGGGGCCTGCTGTGGGGGTCTGCTGTGGGGGCCTGCTGTGGGGGTCTGCTGTGGGGGTCTGCTGTGGGGGTCTGCTGTGGGGGTCTGCTGTGGGGGTCTGCTGTGGGGGTCTGCTGTGGGGGGTCTGCTGTGGGGGTCTGCTGTGGGGGCCTGCTGTGGGGGTCTGCTGTGGGGGCCTGCTGTGGGGGTCTGCTGTGGGGGCCTGCTGTGGGGGTCTGCTGTGGGGGTCTGCTGTGGGGGTCTGCTGTGGGGGCCTGCTGTGGGGGCCTGCTGTGGGGGCCTGCTGTGGGGGTCTGCTGTGGGGGTCTGCTGTGGGGGTCTCCTCTCTCCTCTGGGTCCTGTGTCGTCCCCTGTAGCTGCAGACGGCTCTCTGCTCCTGGTGCAGACGGCTCCTTGGATGACGCTTCTCCAGTTGGTTACATCTGAGCCCTGCCAAGTCTCTCTCTTCATGGTTTTACGTGTGTGCGTGTGTGTCTGAGTGGGTGTGAGTGTGTGTGTGTGTCTGAGTGGGTGTGTGTGTGTCTGACCTGCAGCATGGACTTGGGGTGTGGTAGCTCCTCCCCCTGGTAGATCTTCATGTACGACTGAAACACAAACAGGAAACTTTAGATCAAAGGAAATCTCTACTCTACTCTACTCTACTCTACTCTACTCTACTCTACTCTACTCTACTCTACTCTACTCTACTCTACTCTACTCTACTCTACTCTACTCTACTCTACTCTACTCTACCCTACCCTACCCTACCCTACCCTACCCTACCCGGGAGTGTTTCCTCTGGTCCTGTTTAACCAGTACCAGGTCCTTCTTTAGTCCCTCTTGGCCAGGACCAGTGGATTTTTCTGATGATGCATAGAACCCCACACTAACAGCAGTCATATTGACTGCTCTGAGAGTCCTAGTGTTAAACAGCAGTCATATTGACTGCTCTGAGAGTCCTAGTGTTAAACAGCAGTCATATTGACTGCTCTGAGAGTCCTAGTGTTAAACAGCAGTCATATTGACTGCTCTGAGAGTCCTAGTGTTAAACAGGAGTCATATTGACTGCTCTGAGAGTCCTAGTGTTAAACAGCAGTCATATTGACTGCTCTGAGAGTCCTAGTGTTAAACAGCAGTCATATTGACTGCTCTGAGAGTCCTAGTGTTAAACAGCAGTCATATTGACTGCTCTGAGAGTCCTAGTGTTAAACAGCAGTCATATTGACTGCTCTGAGA